CAGTATGAAGGGCTCGGCCCTCTGAGCTGCTGGCTGGCTCTGAACTGTACCTACTTGTCCATTAATAGCAAGCAGAGAACATGGCCCACCTACCTGCCACCTGCCCTAGCCAAGGGGCTCAGAAAATCTGCCTGGATGGCCCCCTCATTCTCTCAACACACATGCCCAGAGGAGAAAGGGCACTGTCTAAGGCTGGCCAGCTCCTGAGCTTGGCTGCTAAGAATAACAGGGAGTGGGGTGGTGGTAACCAGCAGGACTCAGGCAGAACAGAGGCCTAATGCCCACTGGGATCCAGGCCACAGACTACCAGCATCTGCTCTCCCACCTTTAATCCCAGACCCTACCCTACTCACTGCCCAGACAGTAGGATCTGGAAGGGGGCATAGATGGGCCAAAGCACCAATTCTGACAAAGTAGCTACGACCCAGGCTTAGGGACCACATGTTCCCTGGCCATAAGCCACTACTGGCCCTCAGCTGCAGGAGGGAGAGATGCACAAAGGCCCCTCCCTACCCCTGCTGAGCCTCAGACCAAGGCCAGGCTATGCAGTGGGGTACCTAGCCAGCAGCATGGAAGGCTAATGCCAATCCCATCTTGAAACACTCCAATGGGTCCAGGGAGAAAGGAGGCTTCCTCAGGCACAGTTCTTGCAGACATGTGCTTAGGAGGGCTAGTCTTATGCTTGCTCCCAAGAGCAAGTCTTGTGCCTGACCCCAGGGGAAGGCGGCACATGGCTGTGGGCAGCTGGCCTGACAGAGCCTCTGCTGAGTATCTGTAGCACTGCCCATTTGGCCAACCCCAGCACTTGCTTGCCCTTTTTGGACTTTGTAGGTCCTAGTCCAGGGCCCTGCATCCCCATAACCACTGACTGATGGCCTCATCACCTGCTCTCCCTTCTTGGCGGCCACAGCACCAGCAACAGCAGGACCATCTCTGGTATCACATGAGGAAGGGATCAGATGGCCCTGGAACAGGCCAGGACTGGGAATGGGGTCAGGGCAGCAGTAGCCCTGTGCAAGTAGGAACTTTCTGACCACCACAGTCGCTTAAAGAGAACAGGCAATGGTGCTGCCCTTTTGGCCTGTCCAAAGCACAGAGACTGTGAAGGGCAGAAGAGCTGAGGCTGGTGAGGGGTGAAAGACAGGACAACCATGCCTCACTGCAGGGAGAACCTCCGTGATCCTTTGAAGAAGTAATCTGGCAACAGTCTTAAAGGTGGTTGCAGCTCAAACACTTAGCCACTTGATGCCGACCCTGGGCATCCTCACAGCATTGTTTACAAAAGCAAAAGTCCCTCCAAACTAGGGCAGTGCTATGGGCACAGCAGCACAGCAGACTACCCGCCACTGACCCCAGCCCTAAAGATGCCCACTAAAATCAATTCATAATGTGGAAAGATACTCATGGGATAACGTTTAATGATAAAATAGGATCCAAACTTCTATAATCTTTTGGAAGTGAGGGATATGTTCATTATCCTGATGATAGTGATGGTTTCACAGGTCATATGTATGTTAAAACTTATCAAATTGTACACTTTAAATACAGGCAGTTTATTGCATGTCAATTATAGCTCAATAAAAACTTTTTAAAGAAAAGAACTGAAGATGACAAACTTTTAAAAAGTTTTCTATACAGCATAATCTGAACTACATACATCATGAGATAAAGCAAACAGAAAAGAATCACATTCAAATGGTCACATTAGAATAATGAGATGACAGATGTTTTTCCTTCTTCTCTTTCTAAGTTTCTGCTAAAATGTACTTGTAACTTTTGTATGGACTAAACGTAAATGTATTAAACTAACAAGGAAAAGGGCCTGGTGGGATTTGTTCCTTACAAGGTCAAGCAGAGGCTACAGGGGGCCAGGGTGGAGCCAAAGTTCGGGCAGGTACATGTGGGGCCAGATGCTGAGTGTGGAGCAGGTGCCAGGTGCTGTGCTGGGCACTGAATGTGCACCTGCTCCCTGCTGTCCACAACACTCTCAGAGGAACTAGCACTGAAGAGAGAAAGAAGTGGAGTCCAGAAAGCAAACTCTGGCCAGAGGTCTCATAGCCAGGATCAGAGTAAAAGCAGAACCCAGGCCAGTCTGCCCAGAGCCCAGGCTCCCCTTCCCTACAACTGCAGCCTTGGACCTCTGGTCTGGCCCAGCAGAGTGAGGAAGGGCTACTTATCCAGCCATACCTGCTGGTGGCGGCAGGGGATGCAGGGTCAGAAGAGGAAAAGACTCGGTGCAAGTAGTCATTCAGCAGCTTCTCGTGCACAATGCCTGAGGCACAGGTCAGAAGGGAATAAAGGGTCACATTAGTGCTGCTCCTGCCCCCTGCTGGCCCCTAGTCCTAGGCCAGGCAAAGGGGTCAGAAGAACAGCCACGTTGGCAGCACCACTCCACCGGTATTGGAGATGAGCTGGCTCACAGGAACAAGTGGTGCAGCAAGGCCTGAGGCTCACTGCACCTAGGACTTTGCTGCCTTTGTCCCTTCCTTCTCCTTCTCCCAACAAAAGAAGACTCCTCCCTGCCCTGCCAGCCCTTACCTGTGACCCTGGATTTCTCAGCATCTGAAGTCAGCCTATAGCTCTTGCGGGAGAAAGACATGCCAGCCCCCTTGGACGCCATCCTTCATCTCTCATGGGCAGCCAGTGGTCCTGGAGGCTGAGCCAGATGCAGAGCCTGTCTACTCAAGGCCAACCAAGGACCCTCATACCTCACCTCATCCTGCAATGGCAGCAAGACTTGGGAGCAGGTGAGGCCAGGGGCATGCACATTCACAACCCAGGACAGGGGAAAGCAGGGGCTCCCAGCTTCCTACACAGGGAGGGTAGGTGAGATCTAGGCCCTTGTGACAGGAACTACTTCTTGTTCCCTACTGTGTCCCAGTGCCCAGCACAGAGCTTGGCAGAGAGTGGGTACCAGATATATGTTTTAGAAACCCTAACTAAATGTCTCAGCTCTGGGAAAATCAAACCAAAATGTTTAAAGTAACATGGCCCGGGGCAGAGGCCTGATATCCGTCTCCTTAGTAAGCCATACTGGGTCCAGCTCATACACTGAAGCAAGTACCCTACAGCACATCCCCCCAGGTGTAGACCACCACTGGTTTGGCCATCTCCACAAGTCCCACTTAGTCTCCGGAGACTGGGACTTCTTTCTTCAGCCCCAGGTTCCTCCCTTCTCCTGTCTGAGGTCCTGCTAGTTTTTATGTTCACACATACACACTAGCCTCCCACCCTATCCAAGCACCCTCCTTGCCCAGCCCTCATCACAAACTCCACTGGTCTTCCTACTGCTGCCTATCCCTCACATATAAGCTGCTCCAGAACCCACTCTAGGTCCCTGGTGCTGGCATCAGTGATCTATAGTTGTGCTGTCCAACACGGTAGCCACTATCCATCCACATGAGGTTATTTAAATTTGAATTAATTAAAAAGTTTTAAAAATTAACAGTCCGATTTCTCAGCTGCATTAAGTACAATGACCACATGTGGCTAATAGTACTCTATCGGACAGCATGGATGTAGAACACATCCACTCACTGCAGAAAGTTCATTAGCGCCCGGCTAGAGCTTGGCTCTCCAGCACTGCCTTAGCCGGCACTCCCTTTTCTGCAGCCCAGACTCTTATCTCACCCCAAACAGGCCCTCTACTCCCGCCACTAACCATCTGTCCCTCAGGAAGGTGATTCTCCCGCCCTGCCGCCCACCACGGGCCCTCAGTGGGCGTCCATGATCGGTGCCCCCCTCACACCAGAGCAGTTGCAGGACCGTCAAATGTGGTCATTCATTTGATCAGCAAACCTTTCAAACACCAACTCCAGGTGTCAGGTGCTGAGGACCCGGGGAAGAGGCGGACCCTGCCCCTGCCAGGGGGCTCCCAGCCACGGCAATTCTGTCCATCCCCGCCGAGTGATCCGGGCTCGGAACCGAACCGACTCGGTCGTCTCGGAGCCCAAGGACGGCGAGGGCAGCCCATGGCTCCCCCAAGTCGCCCGCGTCTGGCCCCAAGCTCCAGAGGACCCGCCAGCCAGCTCCCTCTCGCAGTCTCGCACAACAGGCCGCGATCCCCGCGCGGCAGGCGCCTTCGCACTGGACCCGCCAGGGTCGCGAGGGAAGCCGCGGGGACCCGCCCTACTCAGAGCCCGGCCGCCCCTCACTCACCCCCAGCCTCGGCCGCCGCGACCCGGCTCACAACATCCGCCCAGCCTCTCGGCTACGGCGTCCGTCCAGGGCCAAATCGAGCGCCCGCTCGCGCGCTGTGCCTCCAGCCGCGCACGCGCACCAGCCCGCGCCCAGCCTCTGCTAGCGGATTTTCTCCACGGCCTCCCGCAGTTTTGTTCCCGGCTTCAGCTTCCCTGGGAGGCCCAACAACTTCCGACCTCTGCCTGCCTACGGACGCTCTTAGCCCAGCCTCGCGGAACGCGACTTCCTAACCGGGATCCTTAGGCTGTCTTAACGCCTACCCATACTTGGAGAGCCAGCCCAGATGTCCTCTAGGACGTCTGAAAGGCCACTTCTGCCAGGGTCCCTGCTCCCTGTCAGTCACCCCCACCTCTATTTAGGTCCAATAAACAGCCTTGCTCACCTTCCATGAGATGACACTTCTGGCAGGGAGGTGGGCCTCCCTGGGCTCTCCTGCCAGGGTGTGGGCTGATCTGCCTACAGCTGGGGCTGATAAAGCAGCAAAAGAGGGGAAACATTGTTGGAGCTGGGGCACATAATGTCCCCCACTTTAGAGGAAAACTGAGGCTCTAAAAAGTGTAACGTCACTACCCCGGGGGCTGGAACCCAGGCTCTGGCAGCTCCCACTTTCACAATGCCCTTGAGCACACTAGGCTTGCAGGGGGCTTCATCCCCATCCCAGGGCACCTCAAGTGTCCCCACCAAACCTTCCCAACACCTGCCCACTTTGTTGGGAGGCCTCTCAGGGGTCTAGTTGTACCAGGGTGAGGGTCCTTGCACCTGACCCACGGGACCTGAGGCCTGGCTCCACCCAGCTCCTGCTACGGGGTCTCTCAGGTCAGGCCCCAGCAGGCCTGGAGTGGAGGTGTGGAGCCAGAGCCACCCAATCCCGTAGGGACAGGTTTCACAACTTCCCGGATGGGGTTGTGGTGGGTCACAGTGCAACCTCCAGCTAGGAGAATGCAGTGGCTCCCACTCCTGCTGCTTCTGACGAAGTGCTCAGGAGTCCCTGGTGAGTACCCCCCATCCTGATCCCCATCTGCCTTCAGGAGGAGGTTAGCCCCATCCTACTATTCTAGGATGGAAACAAAAGGGAGAACTCACTTTCCTAGCGGGCATGGAGCAGTGACCTTGGCCTCTTGGGCAGAGCAGGGAAGCCCTGGGAACACTTATACACATTGCCCCCTTAGGCCTCTGTTAGCATGTCTGCTGTAGCATTGGAGGTAGTGTTGGAACCACACAGACGTGCACACACACAAGCAGGCAGTGACTCCTCCTGAGCCTGATTTATCCCTCTAACTTAGCATATTCCTTTGCACATGTGAGAGCCCAGACCTCGAGTCAGAATGCCAAGGCTAGGTCCCTGCCTGGGTAGTATGATTGCTCTGAGCCATAGCGTTCTCATGTGAGAGATTAGATGGGGCAAGCTCTACAGGGCAAGCACCATCACCCACTGCTCTCACAGAGTGTATGTGTTAGGCCTGAGCCCTGTGCGTGGTCCACTGAATGGAAGCATTGGTGATAACCACCATGTCTGGGCCTGCTTCCCCCAGGACATTTTCTTTACAAGTAACTATGCAGAAGGGCAGGGTTGGCCCTTGCAAATGCACACAGGGCCCATCCCAGAGGCCATGTAGCTTTGATCCCCTAAATTAACAAAGTGTGGACAGGCAAATATACATGTATGCTCTGTGTCTACCCATGCCCACCCTGCAGGGCAGCGCTCGCCATTGAATGACTTCCAGGTTCTCCGGGGCACAGAACTACAGCACCTGCTACATGCAGTGGTGCCCGGGCCTTGGCAGGAGGATGTGGCAGATGCTGAGGAGTGTGCTGGTCGCTGTGGGCCCTTACTGGACTGCCGGTGAGTGGCCACCTGACTTAGATAAGACTGAGGGTGGGGACACCTGGGCTGCCAGGTTACCCTGTACCTTCTCCTCCCTAGGGCTTTCCACTACAATGTGAGCAGCCATGGTTGCCAGCTGCTGCCATGGACCCAGAACTCTCCCCACACACGGCTGCAGCGTTCTGGGCGCTGTGACCTCTTCCAAAAGAAAGGCAAGTGGCTGTGGAGAGGGGAATAGGGGGAGAAGGGACCTAGGGCCTCAGCCTGTGTTGATCTTCTGTCTCTTGCCCCCAGACTACATACGAACCTGTATAATGGACAATGGAGTCCGGTACCGGGGCACCATAGCCATGACCGCAAGTGGCCTGCCCTGCCAGCGCTGGAGCCACAAGTTCCCCAATGACCACAAGTGAGACGGACACCCTCCCTCTTCCCTCCCTGGAGCCTTCCCCCAGCAAGGACTATGGTGACGTTCTCCATCGCCAGGTACACACCCACACTCAGGAATGGCCTGGAAGAGAACTTCTGCCGCAACCCCGATGGGGACCCGGGAGGTCCCTGGTGCTACACGACAGACCCTGCGGTGCGCTTCCAGAGCTGCGGCATCAAGTCCTGCCGGGAGGGTAAGTGGCGGCAGGCTCAAGCTCAGGGAGGCAAGGACTGGTCCACGCCCATCCAGAACGCACTGGCCCTGTGTCCCTAGCCACTTGTATTTGGTGCAATGGAGAGGATTACCGTGGCGCAGTGGACCACACCGAGTCTGGACGCGAATGCCAGCGCTGGGACCTGCAGCGTCCTCACCAGCACCCCTTCGAGCCCGGCAAGTACGCGTGGGCGGGATCAGCGCCCAAGAGACCTATCTAGGGAGGATCCAGGACTCCAGGGGCAGGGCTCTATATAAAGCAATTAGGCGGGGCCAGATGAGCCTGACTCCCAGAGGCTTGTTCACGCCCAATTATCGCCCACAGGTTTCTCGACCAAGGTCTAGACGACAACTATTGCCGGAATCCCGACGGCTCCGAGCGGCCCTGGTGCTATACCATGGACCCACAGATCAAGCGGGAGTTCTGTGACCTCCCCCGCTGTGGTGGGCAGCGGGGACAGGGCCTGGGAAATGTGGGAGGGTTGGTTGGCTTGGCTGGGGAGGAAGGAGGAGCTGGGCGTGACCAGGAGGTGGGCTGAGAGCAAATCCCGCGGAGAACCGTAGACTAGCGAAAGGCCGGTCTGGTCCCAACCCTAGCGGGATCTTAGCTCCGGCTCAGGGTTCAACCTGCCTGGTCCATCCAAGGGTCCGAGGCACAGCCCCGCCACGAGGCCACGACTCTCAACTGCTTCCGAGGAAAGGGTGAGGGCTACCGGGGCACAGCCAATACCACCACCGCAGGTGTACCTTGCCAGCGTTGGGATGCGCAGAGCCCGCATCAGCACCGGTTTGCACCTGAGAAATACGCGTGCAAGTAAGGTGGCACTGGGGCATTAGGGATGTACTCCTGCAGGGCGAACGAAGGAGGGTAGTCCCAGGGCGTGAATTGAAGGAAGGTGGGGCCTGGGGCGGAGCTGGGGCTAGCTGGCTGGCTAGGTAGGACCCTGCCAGGGCTGAGTGGGGCTCCTGCTTAGGGACCTTCGAGAGAACTTCTGCCGGAACCCCGACGGCTCCGAGGCACCCTGGTGCTTCACATCTCGGCCTGGCATGCGCATGGCCTTCTGCTACCAGATCCGGCGTTGCCCGGACGACGTGCGGACGGAGGGTGAGGGCCTGGCAGGGCAGCCACAGAGACGGGCTGGAGGCGCGGAAACCGAGGGCCGGGAGGAGGATTGGGGCTGATGGCAGCCCCTACCTGCCGCAGACTGCTACCACGGCGCGGGGGAGCAGTACCGAGGCACGGTCAGCAAGACCCGCAAGGGTGTCCAGTGTCAGCACTGGTCGGCTCAGACGCCGCACAGGCCTCAGTGAGTCAGTGAGCACGCCTGGCCCCACGTCGGGCCTTAACGTTTGGGTGGCAAGCCTTGGACAGAGTCTGGCAAGGGTCTGAGTTCACTGCTATGATTATGCTCCCCTCCTGCCTAGGTTCACACCCACCTTGGCCCCACACTCCCAGCTGGAGGAGAACTTCTGCCGGAACCCAGACAGGGATAGCCATGGGCCCTGGTGCTACACTGTGGACCCAGGGACTCCATTTGACTACTGTGCCCTGCAACGTTGCAGTAAGCGCTGGTGACACTCCCTTATGACCTTGCTTCAGCCCCCACCAGCAAAGGCTGACCCCCTTTAACCCTAGTGAACTTGGTCTTTCAGATGATGACCATCCACCATCCATCCTAGACCCCCCAGGTTTGGACTTGGGCCTGTCGTGGGTTGGGGCCCTTTTGTCCCCCATCTCTACCCAGTCGCGGTTTATCCACCACGGCTCATCCCCCAGACCAGGTGCTGTTTGAGAAGTGTGGCAAGAGGGTAGATCGGCTGGACCAGCATCGATCCAAGCTGCGTGTGGTGGGGGGCCAGCCAGGCAACTCACCCTGGACAGTCAGCTTGCGCAACCGGTGAGGCGTAACTGTATCTCCCCAAGAGAGAAACTAAGGCTGTGTCCTCTGTAGATATGCCAGTGGGGAGTGGGAACCTGTTCCTGACCCCAGAGGTCCTAGCCAGATGGCAGGTCCAGCCAGATGGCAGGTCCAGCCATGTCTCAGTACTCACTGTTCCCCACTCCTCCAGGCAAGGCCAGCATTTCTGCGGGGGGTCCCTAGTGAAGGAGCAGTGGGTACTGACTGCCCGGCAATGCTTCTCTTCCTGGTGAGCCTCCCTTGGGTTTGGGCACCCAGTCCTACCCCCTTGCCTTCATCCTTCCTCCTGCCACCTTTCCCAAGGCAAGCCAACAAGTGAACCTTGGGGCAGCATGCATTACGAATGATCTAGCAGAGCTTCTCTCCCAGCCATATGGCTCTCACGGGCTATGAGGTGTGGTTGGGCACCCTGTTCCAGGACCCACAGCCTGAGGAGCCAGGCCTGCAGCGGGTCCCAGTAGCCAAGATGGTGTGTGGGCCCTCAGGTTCCCAGCTTATCCTGCTCAAGCTGGAGAGGTACGTGGACAAGTTGAGAGGGTGTGAGGTGGGGCTGGGCCTTGTGGTCTCAGCTCCTGAGTACCCCCATTCCTGCTAAAGATCTGTGACCCTGAACCAGCGTGTGGCCCTGATCTGCCTGCCTCCTGAGCGGTATGTGGTGCCTCCAGGGACCAAGTGTGAGATCGCAGGCTGGGGTGAGAGCAAAGGTAAGAGCACAGTGCACAGGCACGGACTGCTCCAGGCCTGGAAGTCCAGTTCTGGATCCTGCTGCAGGGCCTTCTCCTTCTCCTTCTCCCTATTCCCATCACTGTAGGTACAGGTGATGGCACAGTCCTAAACGTAGCCTTGCTGAATGTCATCTCCAACCAGGAGTGTAACATCAAACACCGAGGACGCGTACGGGAGAGTGAAATGTGCACTAAGGGACTGCTGGCCCCCGTGGGGGCCTGTGAGGTCAGTGGCAGGGCCCTTGGGCCAGCCCAGAGAGGGTACGGGGGCCTGGAAGTATACTACTTCACCACGAAGGGGGCCAGTCATTGCCATGGCCCTCATCATGTGGTTCTCCAACCTGCCAGGGTGACTACGGGGGCCCACTTGCCTGCTTTACCCATGACTGCTGGGTCCTGGAGGGAATTATAATCCCCAACCGAGTGTGTGCGAGGCCCCGCTGGCCAGCTGTCTTCATGCGTGTCTCTGTGTTTGTGGACTGGATTCACAAAGTCATGCGGCTGGGCTAGGCCCGGCCCCAACCCCATGTGCTTTGGGAGAGGATGAAACTTCCTGTCAGACATAAAGCCACCTTTTCCTCTTTATGCCTGTGCAGAGTGCTTCTTAGCCTCTGCTTCCAGGGAATGAATTGGTGATACTTTACTAGGGACTGGGTGGCTTGAGCCCAGCACACCCTGGGCTAGGTGGTCTGAGCCTAGAACTACCTTTGCCTGTGGGTGCTGTGGATGGGCAGGGCCTCACTAGTCTCCCAGATACAGTCTTAGGAAGGGCAGGGCGATGCAGGGCAGATAGAAGGGGGTGCAACAGAGAGAGCTAACCTGGTGTGGAGTCCCAGTCAGCCAGGATAGGCAGAGGCTAAGCCTCCCACTGCCCCTCTGCTCTCACACCAGATGAAGCCCTTGTGGCTACCAAACCCAGAACCTAGGGTCTCTGAACCGCAGGGTGGGGGTTAGGGTTGGGGATGGCTTGGTACAAAGTACCAGCAGGAACCAGGCTCTGTGTCCCAATTTATTATAACTACATAGCCCCAATTCCTCCACCCACCCATCCATGGAGTCCAGAGCCCAGAAAGCCTGTCACTGCTCTGCCAGACCCTGGAGCTCCCCAAGAGGGAATGTGGGACAGACTGGCCAGCTCATGCAGAATGGCAGGGCTTCAGCAGCCCAAGTGCGTGCGTATCCAGAGTACAGCATTCATGAAGCTGTCTGACTCCACCTCCACCTCTGATAGTGCGTGGGAGCTTTTGGGATAGAGCAGGAGCCTGTAGAGATTGGGCAGCAGGGTTAAAGGTTGGAGGGGCCTCCCGTGCTCACCTGCCCACCAGCTGCCAAGACTGTCCGCTCAGCCTGTGCTGCACTCACCGAACGGGCACATTCCGGGCCTTGAGGGCACGGTAATACTCCATGCCCTGCCGGAAGGGCACACGCCGGTCCTCTTGGCCTAGCATCAGTAACAGCGGTGTCTTCACCTGGGTATGTGGGGAGGGGCGAGGAGCCATGGTGAGCTGGGCCCTGGGTTCTGAAAGGATGGGCAGCACAAGGAGGAAGGCCACATACCTGAGGGATATATTGGATGGGAGACTTCTTCAGCATCTCAGCCCACACAATGCAGTCTGGCAGGCAGTCACTGCTGTAAGGGAAGCCAGCCTCCACCACACACCTGTGAGAGACCAAGCTGATGTAGCCCCAGGAATTCTGGGGCCTCCAGGGTCTGCATGGGAATATGGAGGGGAAGGGAGAAGGGCAAGGACCTACGGCACACACCCACCAGTCAGGGATGTCAGTGGAGCCCATCATGGAAGCGATGTTGATGACGGGGTTCCGAGCCACGCAGGCGCTGTAGGTCTCTGGGTACTGACCAATCAGGTGGCAAGAGAGGAAGCCACCATGGGAACCGCCCATAAGGGCCACACGGCTTGCATCAAAGTGCTCATCCTGCAGCACCTGCTGCACTGCAAACTACAGAGTGGGGCAGAGCATGCTGCAGCCAGCTGCCTGCCCAGCTAAGTGGAGCCACACCCCTGACAGCCCATCCTTCAGCTTGTCGGGAAGCCCTAGCCCCATGCTACCTGGACGTCCTTCACATCCTGGTGGCCCACATTGCCTGGGAGGGAGAGGATGCTGTCCTGGCCAAAGCCTGTGGAGCCACGATAGTTCACTAGAGGCCAGAGAGGAACCAGACAGGGTAGTTAGGCAACATTCCCAGCCCCCTGGACACCTTTTCCCACATCTGTGAAGTGGGCTCTGGGACCAGATGCACCACAGACTATCAAGGGGAAGGGGCCAAGAGACTTGAGGCTGTTGTCCAATGATCACAGCACCCTTTCCATGGAAGTCCCACTTTATCACCATGCCATGAAACCAGAGGCTGGGCCAGGGCAGTTCCTGGTAGTACTTACTAGGTCTGGGATACAGAAAGTCCTGGAGACTAGTGTGGCACCTATGGTGCTTGTCAAACCAGGCCCATGCCCTCACTCTACCACAGCCCTCACAGCCACAGGTCCCTGCTTGCTCACCTAGTAATACTGCAAAACCCATCTTGCAAAGCATGGCTGGGAATAGCATCCAGGCAGTGACAAAGGATGAATGGGGCCCCCCTGCAGACAGGGAACAGAGGGTCAAAGGGCCAGCTAGGAGGCAAGGTGGGAGGGCAAGGGCACTTAGGCCAGATGCCTACCGTGGGGCATGACCACCATGGGCACCTGGGTCTTATCTGGAGGGTTGCTGGGCTGCAGGAGGATTGCTTCAAAGTCAAGGCCAGCTGCAGGGAGAGGGCAGTGGTCAGCAGGGCCAGAGCTACTGCTCAGGGCCTTCCCTGGCCAAGGCCCCATCTATAGCTATAGATCTGGGGCTCACCTCTGGGGCAGAGACCTGGCCGAGGTAATTAGCACCATGACACATGGACTCTAGAAGGCTCATGCTCCTTCTGCCCTAGTCAGGGAGCCCCACTCGCTGCAGGGACAGCACTCTGGGTGAGGTGTGGCCACCAAGACCTTGTGTAAGGCCTATATTCTAGGTTCTCCTACCACAGATGATTTGGCCCTGTGGTGCCCAGTTCTGATACCCAGAGCATACTCTCAGATACCTGGATGCCACTCCGATGACCATCCCCAAGAGGAAAAAAACAAAACCTCTTAGAGGTAACCCCAGGAAGCTCCACAATGTAAGACAGGAGGCAGGAAAGGGGTCACCATAGATGCTGCGTGCTGGGGAAGCTGAAGAATGTGTCTGCACTGCACCTGGCCCAGCTCACCATACTGTACATTCTCTTGCTCTTGGGGTGGCTGTAGCACTCGGATGCTCCAGTGGATGTCGGGAATGGACTCAGCCTCCTCCAGGGACACCCACAACACCGACTGTTCCTTCCCTGCAGGAGGCAGGAACCCAACTTTCTGCCAAAGGGAAGGAATGTTGTCATAGGTGGCCTTATTGCCTCCCTGCCCTTCTACTCCTGCCCAGAGTGGGAGGTAGGCAGCTCTCACTATGCTGGACCCTCTACCCACCTCCAGAGGGTACAACATGGCTTCCTGTTGTGAGCGGGTATATACCAAGGTACTCACACTCTCATATACACACCCCCCACCCCCCTCAGTTTCTAGGCTCTACTGTCATCTTGTGTTCTGTCATGCCAGAGGACTGGGCACTTCCCCAGGTACCCTGTTCTGGACAAAGCAGACCTGGGCCCAGCAGTTCATCCCTGTGACTGCCAAACCCTCGTGGACCATGCAAGGCTGGGCCTGTGTCTTGGCTCCTCTACGTGCTGACCAGCCATGGGTCAGCTGACCCTGGGGCCAGTTCCCTGACCTTGGGAACTCTGCCTGCCTAGAACCCCTGCCTCCCGGCCTGGGACCCACCAATACTCACCAGGCTTGGGGGTAGGTTGGGTGTGGAAAACTGTGCCACCATGAGGTCCCGGTCAATTGTGAGCAGCTTCCAGCTTCCACCTGACCCCCCTGGAGAAGGCAAATGCCACTAAGTGCCTGGCAAGGGCTACCACCTTTCTCACCTTCTCTCTGGAGAGTCCCTGACTGGAGGCTCTATGGAAAGGTGCCCTTTCCACCCTGAGAAGCATCTTTCACAAACACCCAACTGCACATGGCCCTGGGTGAGCATCCTGCTCAGTCCCTTGGTCATCCGGCAGACACTGGGCCTGGGGACTGCCAGACCTGGGGACATACCAGACCACCAGGAACATCTGCCTACCCCTCTATGACTATAGTATGCAGGGATGGCAGCTGGGCCCAGAGAGTTCATTGGGGGTGGGGGAGTGTGCTGATTCTGGGCACTGGGGTCCAAGAAGATTCTTAAGCAGGAATTATACAATGAGAAGGAGCTTTGGAACTGTACTTCAGCAGCTCTGTGGAGGAATAGGTATAGTCAAGGCAGATGGAGAACTCAAAAGACATTTCAGGAGCAGAATTACCAGGCCTAAGTACAGGGAATTTGGGTGCGTCACCTGGGGCTTCCTGGGCCCTGAGGTGGCAGAGCTGTCTATGCCTGAAATAGGGCACCCAAGGTTTGGGGAGGGAAAAGGAGGACTCTGGCAGGTCTTGGTAAGAGAGTCTGGTGAGTTTTAGGAGCAGGGGTGGAGCCATGCTGAGGCTGGGCCAGGACTCATGGAGCAGAGTTGGTGCCGAAGGGCAGTGGAGTGGGGGAGGTTGTCTGTCGACTGGGTCAGAGTCTTGCATGGGCAGGGGCTTTGGGGGACTGTTAATAAAGGCTACAGAACAGTCAGTGGTACAGAGCGGTTGAGAGTGCCACCACTGCCCCACATGATGGAGCTCCAGCTCTATTCCTGACCAAGCTGCCCGTTCACCAGCCCTGCCCTCACCCCTACCCCCGAAGCCCTGCTCACCAGCTGTGAGGGAGGTCACCCTGCCCGTCTGGGTGTCCACAGCAAACAGGTCCTGGAGCAGAGGGGAGGCCACATGTGGCACCACATCCAAGCATCCCATGGGTCCCTTTCCTACCTCCTCTTTACCCTCTTGGGGACCCCTAGGCCAGGCCAGGACTGTGAGCAGCTATGGGATGGCTCCTCAGAGCAACAGGGAGTAGCATGAGGGCCTAGGTTCAAATCCCAGCCCCATCGCAACTTGCTGAGTGACCCTGGGCAAGGTAAGAAATGCCTTTAGCCCCTTTGAGTTAGCATGAGGAATAAATGATATCATACCCAAAAGGAGCCTAGTACATAACATAGGTGCCCTCGGTCTATTTCTGGGAGAAGGGATCAGATCTTTCTCTATCAGTTGCCCTTACAAAGCGTTCAGGAACCCACCCCAGTAGCAGTCCCTTGTCCCCCAGCTGGAAATGCCTAGGAGGGGTTGCAGGGTTGCATCTCAGCCTCAGGTGAAAAGGCAAAGAGTTCTGTTGTGGGGCACCAGGGAAGCCAGTCCTCTCAAGGAGACGTGAGTCCAGGTCAGGGGCAGGAAGAGTTTTAAGAAGCCGGTGAGACCTGTGGCTGGGCATTCTACTCAGGAGTGTGCACATGCATGGGCTCCCAGGGGTTGGCCATAGAGGATGCTTCTCAACAGTCAGGGTCCCTTACCTGCCGGCTACGCTGAGCCGAGTCAAAGACCACTCTCTGGCTATCAG